AGAGTAAGAGGGCAGGCAGTGGGTAGAAATAAAAAGATGAACAGGATCAGATAAGTATTCAAAATGTTCAAGGGCTTACGCAAGCACATCCTCCCTACTGTGAAATTCGTCCATAATTGGGGACTTCAGTATTAGCACGGACATCAAATTGGCCTCACCTCCCACACACTATGATGGAAGTTACATATGCTGAACCAGTTCTACTCTCTAAATGCTCTCATGCAACTCCTGCTGATTAGCCAAATCAGTAAGGGCCAAATGGGTCCCTAGGCACACACTCAACTCCACAAGGCCAGAACATGAAGTGCCAAATTCCACCCTCATATAAGTACATTCAACTCATATTGAAATTGATGTGAGTTGCAGATGCATAGCTGATTGTGGAATTTGGCTGTATCTAGCTATGAATGAGCTCAATACAGTTTGGGTCAAATTATCTAATTCATCTAAATTTCACAGTTAATATTTGGAGTACGAGGTTTTATGAAAAGGTGGCAACAGCTATTAAATATGAATTCAATATGTGGAATTGTTTCCATTGATAGAAAAATAGCTTCATATTCTTTTAAATAATCTAATTTTACACCCAAGATTCTTCCAGAAGAGACTCTGGTTCTTTAAATATTCCATTCACAGCTAAGGCTTGGTCTCCATTACTACGGGTCATCGATCCAAATTACGCAGCTTCAACTATGTGGCTGAAGTCCATGTACTTAGATCTACTTACTGTGGTGTCTTCACTGCGGTATGCTAATAGATGATGCTTTCCCATCAACTCCGCCTGAGGTTCCTCTTCTGGTGGAGTACCGGAGTGGATGGGAGAGTGCTCTGCGATTGGGTTATCACATCAATACTAGATACGATAAACTCCCGCTGAATTAATCACTGTTGGTTGATTTGGCAGATAGTGTAGCGATGCCCTGTCAGAGCCGATTTTGCTACACAACACTATTCTGAGCAACTCTTGTAGGTAATGCATCAGAAAGTGAATGAATGAATAAATAAATGGCCATATATAGTCTCTTTCATCCCAAGATCATTGCTTTTTACAAATGGGAAAAGAAGGGACAGATGGGCTTAGTGCCTTGCCTTACATCACATGACAAGTTTGTGGCAGAGCGGGATAGCCCAGCTCCTTTGACTCTCAGTTGCATGTCCTAACTACTTTATGGCATTCCCTCCCTAATGTTTTTTCTAAAATGCATTTGTTTGCAAATTCTGCTGCTTTCCATATTGCAAACATATTTAATGAATAAAAAAATATATTTGAGCACCAGTGAAATATTGAACTGCTGCCTAAAACACAGCAAGTATGGTTTAGACACAATAATGGAGTGCACTAGGAAGAACAGATGTGTAGGATTATAACTGTAGTTAGCAATGAACGGACCAAAACAACACAAAGATATCAGACCCATGCCAGAAGTAACACCCCTTTTTACATGCTGTATGAGCTGTTCAGTAATACGCCTTAACTTGCCTATTCATCAAGCCCCAGAGTACTGTCATGAAAATCCCATTTAACATTAAGCACAAGTAGCATATCTATTAAAGACTGTATTAATGGGGGTAGGAATGCAAAGTTTCATCCAGGCACTAGTCAGAACAAATTAAATTATGTGGATTTCTACTTTAATTATACTGCAAGAGTAGTTGCTTGCATAGTACATTTCAATTACTACAGACTAGAACTATTTAGTTCTTGCATCAGCCGGCAATGATTATATCTAACTTTTTTGGTTATTAAAACATTTGGCTTGGCAGTTACATTAAATGCTTATTGACTAAACCCATTAGTGTAATGGTGAAGGGAGAAAAGGGCTAGTCTGTATTACAGGACATTTACAGTGAACTCCGTAAAACAACAGACATTCACAGAGTCAGATCTGTCACTTTAGTACAGTCTTCATTTGTCATCTGGTTCCCCAAATTTACCCCATTAGAGAGAAATTAATCCCCATTCAGAGGATCAGTATGAAACCATGCACCACTTAATGTGAATGTAGATCATGGGCCAACCCTCTACATTGGTGTGAAATTTCACCCTTAGAAATTTAAGCAGCAGGAACCAATGTCTCCCTCACCATTAATAAAGGAGAGATAGGAAACATGTCAGGATGGACAGGAGCAGAAAAAGAAAAACCAAACACATATCTTTCTCACCTTTGCTTTTCGAAGGACGTGGCCTCGACATGGAGAATTACTTGATGTAGGAGGTCTCTTCAGCACTGCTGCACTGTTCACTGGTATTGAACATTCAGTATCACTCGTATCACAACTGGAGATAGGAGAGTTTTCCAAAGTTCGGTGCTTGAAAATTGGAGACTGACAGAGAAGACAGAATGAAAACCTCAAACTGGGCAATGTTTCCTCCAAAATATTCATAAAAATAAAAGGCTTCAACTGGGTAAAGTTTTCTCCAAATATTCAGGTAAATATCATTTGTCTAAATTTAGGACTGCAGAAAGCTACAAGACCTGTTTTAAGGTTATGAAAAGTACATTGACAGATAATCATTTCCAAACATGAGCTGCACTGATCAGGATAGAAAATGCCATTTTCTGAATAAGCAAAACAAGAGAAAGTAAATAGCTACTTCAGTTCCTTCTAAATAACAAGTGACTAGGTGGGTCAGCACAGTGAACCAATGCAAAAATGTTGTCCATATTGATCCACGAGCTATTAAAGGTCTATAGATATTAAGCTCTTTGGGGGGAGGGACTGCCTCTTATTATATATTTGTACAGCCCATAGCACAATATGGTCCTGGCCTTTAAGCTCTTCCACAATAAAATGGCAACAAATGTTTCCTATAATTCCATACATATCAACTCAATTTCATTGATGAAGAGGACACCAGCTATGGCTGAGTAATGGTAATAATTCAGAACAGAGGGTGGCTGTTTTATCTTTTGGGGTTTATAGATCAGATGCCTGATCCTGCATGATGCTGACCACTCTTGGCTCCTATTCACTTTTCTGGATGTAGTGAATGTTCAGCACTCCTATATCATAGGACTGACCCTGCTTTTCTGAAATCATTCAGCTGTGGACATACCTGTGGGCTTGAGGTTCCTGATTTGGGCTCAATTGCCAATCCCAGAGTGATGCCGCCAGCCAAGGCTTTCTTCAGGCTCTCTTTCACCTCAGTCAGTTCCAACTCTAGATTTACACGCTCAGTCTCCTTCAGCTTGCATTCCTCCTCCAACTTCCTTAACTTATCTTCTAGAATCACTTGAGTCTTCCTGCCTGAAATGTTAAAGTTTGATTGAATCCTGTTTAGCACTGAGTCCATTATTTACAAATAGGGAACAAATGCTTTAAAATGAGTGGTTACCCAAACAGCTATGCACACTGAACAGTTCCAGCCCTGTGCAAGTAAAATATTTCACACTTTAGAGAAAGCTCAGTGATTCATCTGGGGTGCCGTCCTGAGGCAATTTTTTGGTTTCTAGCCATATTGTTTTTCATTTAGTCTCTGTACCACAAAAATGGCAGTAGCCAGTAAATAAAAATAAAAGTTAACCCTTCCTACTTTTGTGTGAGTGGCTGATAATTGTAAAGTGTATTAAATGAGCTAACAGCACAAAAATATTGATTGACTCTAATTGCTGTATTTTATAAATGTTTAACACAAAAACGGAACCTCATGTTACACCTGTAGCAAGCAGTTTGGATTTTTGAAGAATACATTTCAGGCCCCAGGAAAAAATTCCATTTGCATAGTTAGAATTCTTGGAGTGCTGTGCTCTAACACAACAAAGCACCTCATACCAGCATTAACTTCAATGGCAGCTCGTAGGTCTTTCCTTTCTTTTCGGAGCTGAGCCAACCTGTTCCGCAGAGCTTCTTTCCTCCTTAACAACTCCTCTTCTTTGGTTTGTAACCTCTTTGCATCTGCTTCAACACGGTTCTTGCCATATTTGTACTGATCAGCATCTACGCAGAAAGATGAAAGTGCACTGATGATTTATTCAGTTAACTCCTTCTCTGAATGGCTCAGAAGCTAGGAACATCACTAATCAGAATGTGAGATGCAACAAACAAAATATACACACCCTTAAAACTTCCTGGTCTTAACTTTGTGACTTGAGCCGTTCCTGGATCTCTTTGAATAAAATAAGCAATAAAACAACTCTTTATCTCTCAATCAAATCTAACCCCACAAAAAGCTTTTGCAATGTCTGAGAAAGTTGGGTTAATTTTTTTGTCTGTTTTCATTGCAATTTCCCACACTTCTTG